TTTGTCCGAATCAGACTGAAAACTTGACAATTTACCATCTACCGGGCATCGTGTTACTCGTCTGTATCCTTTTATTGATAAACTACGGCATATGATCAAGGTGTTTGAGATAAAAACTGCGATTTTCGGAACGAAAAATACTCGACAGGAATCCTTTCCCCGTCCGCCATTTTGTCAGGGCGCCTGCGATAAATTCAGCGGTAAACCATATTGCGCACTCTCAGTTGAGATTTAAATTAGCCAATCAGCGGTTTTTTAGCCGTGTCCACATCCATAATATACTCGGCCCATTTTTTCCACAACCTGGAAGTGTTTAATTATGCGATGTGCTTTAATTTCATAATTTTGCACACGAAAGACTAGTACTGTATATCCTAAATCACTTTAAGTTTGAGATCTCACTGAATAACTCTTTCATGATTTGTTTTCAAATACGAACAAAAATCACTTTACTGTATAAAAATAATTAACAAAATAAAAAGTTTGCAATAATAATTCCTTGGTATTGAATACTGATGCTACTCATTTAGTGTTGACCTGGATTGATATGAGCCAGTAATTCTCGGATTGCAGTTTTTTGAAATTAAAACGTAAAATTTTCATGTACGAAGGTTTGCAACTCCGCTCAGGTCTAAGAATAAGGCTATTCCTTCAATATGAGAAAAGTTAGAAATTAATTTTGATATTTATAATATCAATTCCAGTTTAAACTACAGTGTTTGCTTTATGGCATCGTTTTCTACCACTACAGAATTCCTCGTTTAAGTTTAATACAACTATTCCCTTTATGTATATAATTTATGGTAAGAAATGATGCCATAGTTCAAACAACCTCTATTAATTATGTGTTTAATGTATTTAGACTATAGATAAAGGGCAATAGACTTTTCCCGAATTTGCTTGAGTGACAGCAATGGTTCCAAGTCGACTTGATGTGTTCATATGTTTACTGTATTTTCTCAAGTCCAACCTTGACATGGAGCCATTGTTTAGTGGTCACTCAAGCAAATTCGGGAAAGGTCTATTTTTTGAACATGATTTCGTCATGAAAAGATACATTTGAAAAATAAACAGGTACCATTTGAAGGAGGAAATAAATGTATGGCATTTTTCTTTCTTTCTTTCTTTTTTTTTTTTTTTTTTTTTTGTGTGTTTACTTCAATTCCTTTTCCTTTTTTTCTTTTATTTATTTTTATTCATTTTTCTTTTCTTATTTTATCTTTCGTTTCATTTATTTTATTTTTCTTATTTTATCTTATTCTTATTTCTATTATTTTCTACATCCAAAATCGATTCTGGTTTTCAGAAGATGGTTTTTTATACCAGGTTTTCAATTTTTTCTTGATGTTTTTGTATTATCTTTCAACTTTGTAAGTTAATTATTCCTATTTTCCTGATAAAAGTCGCTTGCGTGACGGTTAGCATTGGCTTGGAAACAAGAAAAATATACCAATATTTTGAATACATTTTCCATTTCCTTGAGATCATGTACCAAATTTCGTGCAAAGCTCTTTACTACGTGGTAGATGTCCAGATCACGTTTAAAGGAGCCCATATAAGTCATTGTTTACAAAGTCACCATTACGTCACTGAATATATATAGCCACTTGTCATATACGTCAAGTTTTAATCACGTCGTACCGGTGACACGGAATTGTACTTTTAACTTGGCAGAGTGTCTTTTATTTAAATTGTACATTTATATTACCGAAAATAATTCTTTCCAGCTTTCTAGAGATATTTCGATAAACTAGATGGTGCTTTTGGTTGGGATAAATATCGCTTTAGGGCAAAGAAACATCTTTTCTTTTGATGGAGAAACGTCATAGTTTTCAGCCAATCACAGCAGCTGTTTGATTTCTCTCATAAAACTGCATTTAGTTCTTGAAAGCGTTTCTATGGGGATATGACTGTAGGCTTTGTATATAATATAAATTTCTATGGAATTTTGAGTAAAGACTATATTTATACATATAAATATAAATATAGATTTTAGATGAATCGCAATCTTTTTTGTCGAGTCATTCGTCCTTCAAACCCTATTTCAGTTCAAATCACAATAGATACCGATTGTTATAACCAAATATAGAAGCAATCTAATAACTAAACATCGTTTCTATTTCTAGCTTGACACGAACAGGAAAACTGACTGATGAATCCGTTTAAACGCCAGAATTTGAGCGACATATTTATTTCCTGAAACGTTTCTTAAAATAGACATCTGAAGTTAGTCTCATTATGTAATAGTTTTCATTACTCCATATGCTAATCTGCCAATAATTACGATTTACAGATGGTGAACATCTTGATTCCTGGACATGGTATCACGTGCGAGATCCCTTGAAAGATTCAAGTAATACTTTTCTCCGGTTCGTTTCCTCACTCTGAAAAACTGCAAATCTATCTGCGAGTTTATTTAAAAATTAAAAATAGAAAATAGTTCGAAACCTTGAAACGAGCGTAAAGGCGTGATCACACGGAGCAATTTTCACTGCAACTTGTCTCGCAACAGCGCAAGAGTTTACACGACGCAACAGAGACGCAATCGTTGCCTCGCAACGAGTCTCGCAATATTTTTTCAAATCGCGCTGTAGGTTACACGCTGCAATGCTCCATGCAACTTGTGCCGCAACGCATTTGCTAGGAAAGTTGCAGAGAAAATTGCTCCGTGTAATCGTGCCTTAATTAAGGCTCGTAAAAGCAAGGGGCGCAACAAAAACCAGAAACAATAGAGCACCAAATTAGATGCAAATTACTAGAACATGACAGGAACATACAAAATCTCAGCCAAAAGCAAAATAATTCAATACATAGACACATAGACTAGGAAAAGTTTGTGTAACCGAGAGTTAAGCAATGCACAAACTCGATGTTTGCGAGGCGAAGCACGTATAATAAATTGTAATATGCATCTTCATGAACACGAACACGCAAAGTTTTGGGGGGACCGAGGGGGAAAGGCACTGCACAAACCCGGCGTTTGAGAGACGAAGCACGTGTTAAAAAACTTTATAGCATACAACTCAGTTAAGAACACCAACGTGCAAACGTTGGAGAGCCAAGGGAAAGGCACTGCACAAACCCGCGGTGTTTGTGAGGTAAAGCGTAAAGCACATAAATAAACTAACTAACCAACTATAATAAGTTATATTTGTAAACTCTGGCCAAAACTAAAATGGCAGCCGAAAAGTCGTAAACTATGGCCGACAGCCAAAAGTCGGGAAATGTAATTATGGTAGTTCTGACTAACCTGTTCAAATAAAGAGGATAATATGGAAAAGGTTCAATTGAAAACGTGGGCACCAAAATGCTTTTGGTCGGAATTCTTTTGCTTTTGGTAGAGGAGCAAACAGAGCGATATTCGAACCGGCTGCAGCTTTGAACCCAAGTGATTATGGTAATCAATGGTTTCTCATACATGCGTACTAGTGTGACCACCGTGAATAGTTCGTTGGATCGAATGCATGGTCAGTTTGCCTGCGCTAGGCAAAAGTGCATGGCAATACCTTTCCTATAAACGCCTTCATTTTCTCGACAATGCTCGATCCCACTTCCACGTCCCTCCTAAATCACACCCCTCCCAAAACATACCTCTCCAAAACCACACCCCTCCCTAACCACACCCCTTCCAAACCACACCCCTTCCAACATACGCCCCTCCCAAACCACACGCCTGCCAAGAACACGCCCTTACAAACCACACCCCTCCCAAAACACACCCCTCCCAAAACACAACTCTCCCAAACCACGCTCCACGCCTGCTTCCTGCTAAATAAAAAGAATACCAATAGAGTCATGTTTTAACCAATAATAACTCTGTTTACTTGACTTTTACATGCTGGGTTACATATGGCATATTATGTACCATCATTAAAAGGATTAATGTATAGCCATAATATATTAACAAGCGATGGATGGCCATCGCATCCAATGATATATTTGGTTTGCATATATTGCTATGATATAAAAAAACAGTACAGAAGTGATGTCTACAGCTAGTACACTCTGCATGGGTCTCACTTGGTGTCACAAAACGTATTGATACAAGAAACAAAATATTGCGTCGTATATACTACAAATACCAGAATCCTTTGCGCATTGCTTCTTTGGCAATCAGCATCAGCTTAATATTCGCATGAGGCAATAATAATTTGGAATTGAAAAAATTCGCGAAGCATTCTGGTACTGGTAGTAAAATGACGCCATCAATCGAATGGTCTATTCATTGGTTCTTGCGTTCAGAATACGTCATAGTGGGAACCATGCTGCATGTTCTAGTCGTAACAGAATTCAAAATTATCACCCCTTGATGATGGGAGTGCCTACCTAGCAAGCAGTTGATGAAATGTGTCCATAAAAAAATACAATGAATCACACCTAATGCATCGACTGAGTGCTATGTAGGTTCTCCTGACATCATTTGGCGCAACTGCAAAGTTTTTCAAGTGTTTTTTATAATTGAATTGTACTGGGGGTTTCTCTACGTCTCACGAACAGGCACTTCAGGAAGTACCTTCCGGCATTCCTCCGTGCTGTGTCAGCCGGCTCAAAAGCCTTTGAAGAAGAAATAAACCCAGCTTTTTGCTGGGGAAATCTTTTCTTAAAATAATAGCAGTTCGCAAAAGTGAGAATAGAAAAACAGGGTACAATTTTGTGTGGTATGAAATATTCAACCCTACACCAAATCTAATGAAACAACTAAACCCTTGAACACTGGTTAAAACACAGCTCATATACAAGGGCCATAAGGGAGCACAGACTTGTAATCCACAAATTTTCTATCACTAACCAATGATCAAGGGTTTTGTGCAATGACTAACTAATACTTGACTATGAAACTAATGCCTAACCATTATATACTAATAATTACTTCGATTGATTTAAAATTACCAGTAAATACTATACTGTTATTTAAAAAACTAATATTAACTAAATTGAATACTACGTTTATATTTTGTGGTTGATATTGCTTTGGTATAACAGGGAGCAGCATAAAATATTTCTGGATAGATTGCTTCGTTTGAAGAAAGAGTGACAAGAACTTTGAACCGCGCGCGGAACTGCATTTTGGAATACGATTGCTAAACGTTTGCCACCAGTGGTGCGCAAAATTTGGATTCACTGTTCTATGCGCGCGAGGCAAGTTCCTGTTGCTCTCTTTCTTGGGGTAAGAAAAAATTCAAGTTTTCAATGAAGAGTATTCTGTTGAAGAGCTAGCTTGATTATATAGTAGGTAATCGTAAGGCAAGTGGTACCTTTTTTTAGGAAGACATTAACAAGGTACCACGATGGTCGTTGCATGAAAGCGAGGGTATTGCTGACAGGAAAGGCACGTGTTGTCATATATCACTAAAAGTAGTCCAATAACTTCGCTTTCATGCAAAAACTTTGTTTATATGTTATGGTACCCAGCAGATAAAGCTTTTAAATATAAGCGCGCAAGTAGAGAATTAATCGACAGTGTGGACAGCCGTCCCAGTTAAATAAGTTAATCGTTGCGGATGGCAGATTAAGACCATATATATATCAATAGACAGTACATGGTGTATATATTGTATGTATATATTTAAAAATCATTTCCAGTATATATTGCATATTTGAAATGTAAATAAGAAAATAATCAGTTTTGGAAATCATTATAGCTGAACATGCTGAACAAGACTAAGACTAAGACTACGACAAAGTATTTAGTTGATGAAAACCAAATTCTTCATGAACTTTGTGTCCAGTTTTGCAGGCTATGAGGAATGATTTGACGCTAGATACACTGTTTTTCGTGAAAATGTAAGCCATCAAAGAGTAAATAGATAAAATAGAAACCAATTTACATCTGACTGTTTAGACATTTCAAAGTTGAAAAATAAATACATCGACTGAAGTTCCATTGAGTTAACAAAAAAATAAGATAACACCACAACGCTAAAGTAAGCCAGAAAGAAATTACAATAAGTTTACAACTAGTGGGCGAGCTTTACTAAGCTGTGTGCACTAAGTTCAAGCTCTGTGACGCTTGGCACATCTAAATAAACTTTGCGCACCCTATAACAGTCTGCGCATGCTAAACTCAACTCTGCGCATTGTATAACGCTCTACGCATTCTTAATAAACTCTACAGATCCAGCAATGATCTGTGCATACTCAACCTAAGATTGCGCAATATTCAGAGCATGGAACGCTAGCATTATGATTCTTTGCGCAACGCAGTGATTTCAACAGCATACAAAACTGGCTAGAGTTTGAGGCCTAAACAGTGTAAACAGCGTCAATTAACTAACGAGATCTATGCAAAGCGATAATATTTTGAGCATTTTTAGCACTAATAGTAATATGAATTCTAAGATTTATTTATCAGACTACTATAGCTCTAAATATAAGTATATAAGCACTCTTAATAGCCTACAACTAGGAGTTCTTCATGCGATCATATAAATATTTATTATAATAAAGTCTGGATGTCGACGGAACATTACTTCCCGTCCTGAAGCATTTTTAACCTTGATTTCAAGTCAGTAGTATATAAAATATAAGACAATTCTGTAGCATATAAAACAGTCAAGTTCACAAAAGATAATCCAATAAAGTAGTACGATAGGAAGTAAAGTCCTTAAGTCCAAAATCCCGTAGTTATTTTCGCCTGAGTCGGCGTATAATTTGTATCTGTCGAGAAAGTATATTACAGAGAGACCGAAAGGTAGATGCATGCGTGGCGTAGTATGAAAATACATATTTCTTGTTTGAGTATTTGTAGTACCATTCAATAGAATACCAAAACATTCCAGTATAAAATAAAACAGTAACAGTTTTTAACACTTTCGCGAAATAGAAAGGTTTCAGTTTTCTTAGAGAGTTTTCTAACGACTATGATGATAAAAAAATAAGCAATAAGGCTGCGTCTTGAGCAAAATTTGTAACAGTTTTCAATGGTTCCATAGATGTTCTAGAATAAAACACTATTCGTGATTGGTGTTACTAAGTAAGTGATCTGACCAATAAGAATTCGTTTTAGATATAAGTTGAATTAGAAGAGAACGAGTACAGAAGCAAATCCATCAAGCTAGCTCTAATGACACCGAGACTTGTACAGTATGGTAATCGTAAATATCTTAAAAAACTATACCAATTTACAATGATATGTGATTATTGATTTGTTAATTATAAATGCGTTGGATTATTATTAAGCTAATATTTATCCAGGAAACTTAAGTTGTGTTACCCTTTCCCGTGGGGGAGGGGGTGTACCTCAATTCCTGCTAACCATTAATGCTTATCTAACTATAAATGCGGATACAAAATTATTATTTATAGAAGACGGGCGTCCTCTACTTGTGCTAAAACTGGGAAAAATACCCCAAAAGTAGTGAATGAATTCAGCTTTTCATAGGAATCTTCTCACAGCCGGGAAAACTCGGCGAGAATTATAAATTCCTTTCGCAATGACAAATATGTAGTTTGGTCTAAAATATCCCGCGGGAATCCCTCAGAAGCCGTTTCCTCTTTTTTCTCGAGTCTATGCGGTAAATATATATGATTCTTGAATTTGGAAGGGTTGTTTTATTTTTGTTGGATCTGCGCATGACTTATTATGTAGTCCACAAAATTCAATACGATTCGTTTGATCTGCCCCAAGAAACCAAGACCCAAGGTCTCTACCAATTTGCGCATAATGTTGACGGCTTACCAACAATAATCCAAATCAATATTCGAACCCGTCAGGTACTTCTCATTCGTCTTAAGGACATAACAACTATTTCAAAAGTTAAGGAAGAATTCTTTTGAATTCTCCGTCAATTTGAGTTTGTCGTTCGTTTTTTCGAATCCATCGTCATCTGCGTGGCAGCCTAACGAGACGAGAGTAAGTACTAATCGAATCAATAAAATTAACTAATATTAACGACTATACTATTATTATTATTATTGCTAAAACTATAAATGATACATTTACGTCTGTATAGATGACCAATCTAATCGAACCTAGACTATGTTTTACCTCGCTTCGAGTCCGTCGTCTATGTCCTCGACATATGGAGCTTTACTTAGAGTAAAGTCACTTATAATAAAACGACTTTTGCGTTAACACAATTAAAAACTACGTGGATATATAACTGTGGCTTTTTGCGTGATGAGGCATGTATGTGTCTTTACCTCTCGCCCTTCCCGCTCAATTGTAACTAAATGGTGGAAATGGTCACGTGATATGCAAATGTTAGCACACAGTCACGTGACATATGAAGCATATCCAAAGGTCATACGATCTGTGAATACATCACCTGGTCACGTGATCCGTAAGTTTACAACAACTGTTAGGAATTATTTCAATGCTCACATGATATGCAAGTCTATATATATATACACATACATATCACATGGCCAAGTGTTCTGTAAAGCATATCCACTGGTCATGTGACAGGTAAATGCACGATATCCGTTAGAAATTAGTTCAATTTAATTAAATTCAATATGATATGCAAATGTTTCACATAGCAACGTGACCTGTGAATATATCACCTGATCACGTGACCTGTAATGTTGGGAATTAGTCCAATGCTTTTGGTATCGAATGTGAAAAGGAATAGGTTCGTAATGGGCCGGAGGGGAAGTTTGAAGATGTAACAGACATCTCATACGAAATCTCATCCAACCAAAGAGAGTCACGATTGAATAACTATGGGATATGATTAATATAACTATGAATATATATAGATATAGATATAAGGATTCTAATCAAATTGCATTAGTTGGATTATAAGCGACTATATACGACTACGAGTACAACACCAATCAAGCCTACAACTCGCCTACGACAGACGCGAGCGTGTTGTATACGATAGTTGTAGGCGAAAATCGTACCGTCTAAATCGGCCTTTAAGGGGTTTGAAGACTTGAAAAGTCAACCTTGCTTTTCCTTTGGACCTTCCGACAAAGAAACCGCATCAAAAACGAGATCACACTCACGGCCATACGTTCTACGATTTAACTTCTCCAATACTCGATAACTGCACTACAATTTCAGGGGCGGATCCAGGAATTTGTTCAGGGAGGGGTGCAGCGCAAGGGGTGCAGCGCACATAGTTAACCCAGGAAGGGGTGCACCCCTTAGAATCAAAGGGAAAAAACATAATTATGTATTGGTTAAATATTTGAAGTAGGGGCACAAAGTCGAACCAGGGAGGGATGCGCACCCCCTGCACCACTCCCCTGAAGGTATGTAGGGCATTGTGTTTTTCAATCAAGGTGACTTGAGAAAACTCGAAAAACTGGAATTCTATCTGATAAAGCTAAAGTTACTAGAAGCCGCTATTGAAATAATAACTGAGCTGGAGAACGATGGACGCATGATTTCATTTTCAGTGCGGTTTCTTGTTTAAGTCCACCATTTGTGAAGTGTGATAACATATATAACTATGCAATATGAAACGTGAATTATTAAAAAAAAAATGGATTATAATACCCTAAGATTATAGAATCCCAATAACCTATCATAATGATATTTAAATCATTTTTATAATAATGGTTTTTGGGAAAATTATTGTGGCAAATATGTATGAGCATTTTATTTTTCTTCTACCTTTTCATCCTTTTCTTCCTCTTCTTTCGTTTCTTCAGGAAGTTGTTGTTGCTGTTCTTTCTCCTCTTCTTTCTCCATCGCTGTATGTTCGTTGTCACTCACATTATCCTCCATTCCAACTAGTACCTTAGGCGATGTAAACCCAACTTGAACTTCATCATCGTCTACTGATATCTCCTCATCTTCGTCGTCGACAAACAAAGTGTCGCTTCCTTCGGGTGTTTGTCCCCCTTCGACCTCGTACGAGCTCGCTCCGGAGTCGTGCCGTTCTTTCAGCGAACTTGTTCCGATTGAATCGTTGTCGCTCATCCTTCTCCTTTTCGTTTCCGAACTTTCGTCGACAACAGCATTCGAAGTGGGGATACTAATTGCATGCATCGAGTACTCGCCGTACCCCGCATGGGCCCTCTGCTTGGCATGCCATCGCTTGTGTTTATTAAAATTAGACGGATCGCTGAATTTTCTCGGACAGTCCTTGCATTTAAAAGGCCTATCGCCTGTATGGACACGCACATGGATCTTCAAACTGCTAGAACTAAAGAAGGTCTTGGAGCAATGTTCACATCGGTATTTCCTCTCACCGGTGTGTTTCATTAGGTGCGCCTTTAGAGACGTTGACTTGGTGAACGTTGAATGGCAGATCTCACAGCGATAGATCTTCGGCTTGTGTTCCCCTCGATCCTCGGATCCTGACATGGAGTCTTCTTGATTGAAAGAGCCTTGGTTGCTAATATCTTCTTCTTCGTGTGCCGCTTTGTCTAGGTCGTTGATGGCTGGGTTATCAGGGTCATCCTCGAGCTTTCCGCACGTGTGAAGATGGAGATGCTCTGCTTCTTCGAATGATTGATTGCAGCGAGAGCAATTGTAGGGTTGGGATGACATTGAGTGATTCGATGCTTCCGAGTGACTTAACAGATGGACCTGGAATAACAGGAAAGAATGGATATAGGAATATGATCACGCGAGGGGCCGGGGAAAGGGGACGGGGTAATCCTAAAAGTAATCCTAAAAGCTCTACTCAGGGCAAACACTACTTCAAAAAACCAAGGAGTATTTTTAAAAGACTAAAATATCATACGTCTACTGTCAACATTCATTTTTATATTTGAAATTGAAATGAGTTTGCAAATCTTCGACAAAATGAGAATTTTATGCTTGCAAGATATACTATCTATTATCTATATTATCTATACTATCGGCGCCATGTTGGATCAAGATTCCGCTGAGCTTTCTCTGTTAATACCACCAACATGGCCACCAAGTCCGTATTTTGAATGATCATACTGAAAGCACCTATCGTATTGCGTATTTTGTTCCTCAATTCTAGCATTGACTAAAACCCGTAAGGTAGGAATGCATGTGACGTCATAGCCGCCATATTGGTTGGCTTAGAACTTCAAATGTGATCTTGGTTTCTTTTGTCGTGTCAACCAGCATGGAAGCTATGTCTTCGGTCCGTTTTTTGGGAAGGGATGTGGCACTCGGTAGTAGCGTAGGGAGGGGAGGGGGCAGGGGAGGCACGTGCTCACCAAAACTGGTTTTCTTTCGGCACCAAAATATAAATAAATATAAATAAATGGGATTTAACAGTGGCATTTCTACAGAGTAGCTATTCGTACACTGTAATTCCAATTGGAATTTAGGAGTTGATTTTTGCGGAGGGAGGAAAGTCGGAGAACCCGGAAAACCCTCGAAGCACAGGAGAGAACCAACAAACAACTCTACTCACATACAACACCGAGCTCAGCGGGGCTCGAACCCGGGTCGCATTGGTGAGAGGCGAGCGCTCTCACCGCTACGCCACCCGTGTTTCCCACCTATAATTGAGACCTCGCTACGTCCCTGGCACTAGGTCCTTAGTGAACGTACCTTAAGTCTATCCCCACGAGTATACTGCTTCCCACAGTAGTGACACACGTGAGGCTTCTGTCCACTGTGTCTCAGCATGTGCCTCTTTAAATCGACAGCCTGTGTAAATCGACGCAAACAAATTGGACACTCAAAGGGTCTCGCTCCTGTATGCACCAAAAGGTGCCTCTTTAAGCGACTAGAAAAGCTAAATTCCTTTTCGCATTTTTTACATTTGAAAACCTTTTGTCCTGAAGGTGTGATTAGTTCTTCAGTTAGTTCTTCTTCGGTAAGGCCTGTTTCTTTTGGACGAATTGGTCGTCCTGCAAAAAAATGTAAAAGAAAACATGATCAGTTAAAGATATAGTAAGATGAACACGTCAAAACTTGATTCTTGCAACAGCCTTACTAGTTGGGCTACCATCAAACTTCAACCGGTGCAAAGTTGCGATGCAAGGCTGATGGTTCGAGCTAAGAAGAACGACCACATTACTCCCATCTTAGTGCAGTTTTCGTATGACCGTGAGAAATTCACGGCACGAACACGGCCATGACACGGCAAGGGATACGCCAGACCAATCACATTGGACGAGAATTTACTCTCCATCAAATCAAATACCCAGAACACGGCATGAACACGGCGCGGACACGGTCACGCCAAAGTCACGGGACTGACAGACCAAACACATTGCGCGAGAAAAAAATCAGCCAATTAAAATTCTAGAAAACATCACTGTCACGGCACGGCACGCATACGGCACTGAGCTTTTCACAGTCATGCGAAAACTGCTCTAAGACGTCTACTGTCACTGATTGCCCGTTAGAGCGAGATTCGATTTCAAGATCCTTTTGCTAACATACAAATGTCTCAACGATCAAGCACCAGAATATATGAAAGAACTGTTGTCAAGATACAAGCCTCAACGTAACTTAAGATCATCTATATATATAAAGATTTATTAATACAAGTCTGGGTTTCTCATACCTCTTTCCTTTAAGTGAACTACGATTGGTGGAGCCGTCGATTTCGCGGTCATCCCTGGCGTCTGCACATGACTTTCAGATGTAGCAGCTCTTTTCCCGTCAGGCCGAACTTGTGGTGGAGCGTGAGGGGACCCAATGGGTTCCTTACTGTTGCTAAAATGAGGATCTACAGCAATAGTGGCCCTTGGCCAACCATGTCCCGCTAAGATATGGCCGGGATGGACCGGATTATTGATAATCACGTGTTGCATGGGTGTCTGTTGGGGCTGAGTGTAGGCCAAAGAGTACCCTTGACGAGACGTTAACGTAGGCCCTTGGTGAGAGATTTCAGGCCTACTATATATAGGACTTCTTTCGGTGGGACTTTTTAACGTGGGTATTGGAGGCTGGAATGCGGAGATTCCTGAACGCGATACAGGGCTGGGCAATCCATTTATTACGGTACATACTGGAGACATTCCCATTGCTATTGGTTGACCTACTGCAAAAGGTCTTGGGGGGTCCCGTAGAATGACAGGAGTTTCAGGGCTCGGAGGGTCAGAATCTGCTTCTGGTACATTTGATACTCTTCGAGCTATTCCTTTGCGATCATGTTTTCTAGTAGAACAGAACAAAAGGACAATGATATTAGAAAAGTATACAAAATATAAAGCCGAATTGGCTTTTCAGAGGCTGAGAGGAAAAATGGGTCTAGCATCGGACTGTATTATGGGACTGCCTTAGGGGACGAAATAGACGCCATCTTGGAAATGTGTCTCCTAAACAAATGCACTGCAATGTTAACTCTACCAGTTATTTCCCTCAACCTCGGAATGGCTAATTTACACGGTGTAAGGGTGCTGAGGGCAAGTCTTTTACTCTTATTTCCCGAGGGACGACCCGAGGGACACCAAAAAAAAAAAAAAAGAGTTAGTCTTCGCAGTAGGGAAGTAGTATACAGAATAGGGGTTCACCACGGGCGGATCACGGCGGATCGCGGATCAGTCGTAGTAGGGACATCAGAGTCCAAAGTGTGACGTCATAGTTCGTAGAAACCAATCAGAAGACGTTCCGGTAACGATAGCAACTCCGGAGCTATATCCCAGACCCCTTTCCGGGCTTTTAGGATAGAGCTCAAAGCATGACGTCACGCTCTGGGCTCTGACGTCCCTATTACGGCTGATCCGCGCCTATTTTGTATACTACTTAGGGTCATCCTACTTAGTGTAATGGAGACCTTAGTATGTATTCAGCAAGTGAACAACAAAGTTTAAAATATATAGATATATCTGTTACAGCTGTACAGTGGTTCAATGAATTCCAAAAAGCTCTCTTAGTCGGGGAAGGAACTAGTGTTTTGGCAAATGGGATTCGAGATGGAAGCATGTATCAAAAACATTTAAACTGATCTGTACATGTTTACCAATCGTATCTTAGGACCATAGTTACCTTTTTGGTGGACTTTGAGAAACGCTATTTTCTTCGTAGCCCTCTAATGTCTGGAAAACAAGAGATTTGACCCTGTTAGTTATTTTTGTAAATTTTGAACCAGGTTTTCATAGTACTGGTAACATCGGCCATGCCAAATCTGACTCTAAAGCTAATGATTTGTATAGGAAATCGCACGATCTCGAGTACAATTCGGAATTTATAGGTACGAGTGATGTTTTGAAAGTTTTCAAAATTGGACGAGCCTTTAGGCGAGTTCAATTTGAGAACTTTAAAATCTACACGAGTATCTATAAAATTCCGAATTGTACGAGAAGATTGTGCGATTTTTTATTTATAATACACTCAACAAAATTGAGCAACTTGATCGGGACTCAATTTGGGATTTAATTGTACTCTTCTTGTCCAATCAGAATCGAGTAATTTTGTAGAGTGTATTATAAAATAAAATAAAGGAACTCTAGAGACCAATGATAAATCATGTCTATAAGCTAGCGTGTTCTCACAGCTGGTGGGCGGCAAGAATGCATATCAAAGACAAGCACATCGAAACAACTGTGTTATTCCAATAACAGAAAAATTGTGTTTCATCCTCTCAAAATCACTTGACGTTAAGCGCTACGATAAGGATTGGTTGTGGCCTTGATTCTAGGCATGGAAGGACAGAAGTCAAAGAGACGCTTCTATGATATTTTCAAGGAGACCGCAGGGAGTTTGGTTCACCCTTGCATTAACATAAACTACTTAACCAAGCAATTTATATGATAACATGAAAATATCTTGTTGGGCTGAACGGCTGTTCGATAGGTTTGAAATTTACGAGCTTTTTAAATTGAATATCATGTAAACAGTCCAACTCGTTTTGTCAGCCTCTTTTCTTCCAACTTTTTATTATACGAGAAATCAAAAACTGTTTTGATTTGAAAAAGGCCGTGGAAAGGTTTCGCTTGCATGTGGAGGGGCGATAAAGAGTCCGCACCATTAGGACGAACAAAAACAAAAAACAAAACAAAAAACGCCTCGGGATATGGTTTATTACACGTCTTATTATGAGACTACTTGCGAACCCCAAATGGAAAGCAATAAAGGGCAGGTAGGGCGGGGCTTTTAGCAAGCGAATGATGAAGATGGCTCTTGCACAAATGGATAGAACTCTATGGCTGTGTTTTCACTAGGACAATTTAAACTAGCTTAATTACGACACCGGAAATAAGGCAAAGTTAAACTACCTAGCAAGATGGTTTAAGTTGTCCTACCAAATAAATGGGCCAATCACAGTGTTATTCTTGAAAGGTGGGAGTCGGATTAAAACACCTCCAGGAATTTTACGCAAGTTAACATTTCTAGTGAAAACACAGCCTATATTTACGTAGCAGCCTTATAGTTGTCATCGCTACCCCATAACAAGTTCACACCTAACTTCACCATCGAGTTTTTAAGACATCAGACGACTGACTGACTCTTTCTAATGATAGTAGACTACCACGAGCTGATGCTAGCCTGTTTGTCTAACGACCAGCCGATTTAACGTGTTTTTACGTGTTTTGCACTTATGTGTTTCATGTTAACTAGTTGATTCTTAGAAAAAGCCCTTTATTTCTCGAGTAGCTCGTTTATATATTTTTTGAAAACCTAAGAATAGATACTTGGAACAAGTAAAAAACTAGAATTTATTATATTAATATTGTGTGGAATTGCTAATTAGCATTTGTTTTTACGTGATCTGTTTCGATATTCGGTTGCGTGATACGTGATACGTGATAACTTGTACCACAGTCACTGTACTATGTATGATATATATATAACTGACATGTGCCAGGTTTAACGGCATGATCGGATCATTAATGTGTAACATACTAGTATGTCATGAATGAATAGCTTTGGTACTCACGTCAGAGCACGTACCAAAGCTCGTTCTCTAAATTTATTCTGTAAACTAGACGACTACTTCAAACAGCAGTAAGTAGTAGTTATATGTGGGCTCGTAAACAAGTAATATAGCGAAATGTATGATTTTAATCATACATTAAAAGGCCTTGGCCTTGAATTTTGGTTAAGTAGGTTATCAAACAGTTGTCTTAAATAATTACATCGTGTCTTAAATACTCCGGGGGGGGGGGGGGGGTACTCCCCTATATTCGCTATACGGGTACAAACAGGGTATGGTTTTCAGCGATTCTACTCTGGAACAGGGTATATAAAATCACGCTCTCTCCTTTCTGGAACAGGGTTTTCAGCGATCTTGCTCTGGAACAGGGTATGAATTTCAGCGATTTTTACTCTGGAACAGGGTCAGGGTTCAGAGGGCTCAGCGGCACATCCCTACCCTAAACGGGCAAGAGTACCCCCCGGGAAAATACTGCGATAACGCCTACAGAAATTTTAAGAGAGCTTGTAGCCATAAACCTCATGAAAGTACATTGTGCAAAAGCTTGTACAAATACTGTTAGTTGTTCAAGCCTGTAAGGCCTCATATTTTCTGTAGTATGTTGAACAAGAGCTTGTTGTTGTTCTTGCCACTATACTAAGGGACGGATCATTAGATAATTGAGGAGGGTGTTGCGTAAATCCACAAAAAAATCGAGCAAGCACTTCGCCTACGAAAAAAAAAATATCGCGCAACCTCTCCTTCCAGTAAAGAAATATCGAGCAAACACTCGAAACAATTAGAAAAAAAAAAATCGTACAACATAAATTCCTGTAACCTCAAAGATCTAATGGTTAATCCCTAAGGTGGTATAAGGCCATGCACGTTTGCACACTGGTTGTACATTAGTTTATGTTTCTTCTATCAAAAGTACAGTTCTACGAGGCTTCTTAGGTTTGTACTGTAGGTTGTACAACATCTAACACATATATTCCATGAGGTGCAAGAATTTGTCCATATTATATAACTCAGATGACTAGGTTGTGCATGCCATGTTTCTTTTTAAAAATATCATGATCATAATCCACGATCACCAAAAGGCATCCTTTTGCAGCAATTATATCTGCAGAAATGTCTAGAATAACAGACTGTTCAAATTGTATTCTCAAGGGTACGGTGGAAGAGGGCTGTGGGTCAACCTCTTGCTCCACCCAAAATAAAAATTGGGTGTTTGGGTCTGATTAGTAATAATCTACTAAAGAATTGTACTCACCCCAGGTTCGCTAAAACCAGGACTTGTTACAGTAGAAGGTGTGGAGGCAGATTTTTGTCGGCATTCTCTAGAGGATTTATGTCGGAGGTACTTTTGTAGATTTGTAAACATTTGTCGGCATTTGCCACACTGAAACAAATCAGGCTCATCATCCTCATCTGATTCGTGTCCTGTGAATAAGAAGCAAATATTTTGATCAGGATGCAGTTTTGTTGAATGAAGTTCTCCTTTGACAAAAAAGCTGGATTGAATACTGTGAAAAAATATAACTCATCCATTGCTGGTTAAACTCCTACAAATTGGCCTGAACTGGAAAAATATTATAAAGCAAGTGTGTAAATGGACAAGATCATACTGAGGTGTTGAGGTTGCATTGCATGGTTCTATAAAATTAATATTTGGTTTGGTTTGTTGTCTTGATGAGAAGGACAACATTTTAACTCCTCCATCCAGAGCTCCATCCGAAGTAATCATCAGTGTGATATCTAACTTGAAGCAAATCAGCAGTTTTTATGTCTACATCATAAAATGGAAATGCAGGTATACGAATGTCTACAGTGCCAATATTGCCCACTCTTACTAAACATCAATACACCTGCCACTCATCACGCTTGCTGGCTTATTTATTCAATTTGTTTTGCTGTTACAACTCAAGAATGATCAAAGCCTTGAAACAAATAATAAATAAATAAACACTGCCCTTAAACAATTCCATTTTACCCTGCAAAAATGAATTCTTCCGTCCACTGTATATCAGTTGAAGACAATAGAGACAATGTCACTGGTGTATCATAATAACCAGTTGACTAATTATTAATTGAAGAGTTAAATGAAACCATTTTGTTATTTTAAATAGAATTAAAACAAATGGCCATTCACAGCTTGTGCACAGCTAACTAAAGAAGCAACAATCCTTGATTAACTAAACTACCTGGGGGAGGTAGTTTTAATCCTGTTTTAAAGTCAGCCAAACAAGGGAGAACGTGGGATAGAGAAATTTCAATTATTTATTTATTTATTTTAACAAAAATGTTTATATAGGGAATTCTCATTTAGAAGAACTAGTTTAAAGAAAGCCCTGTATTAAAATCATTAAAACAATGTAGCTGAAACTTATCAAGAGCCTCATTGAAATACTATTGAAGGCTCATAATATGTCCATGAGGTAGATAGAAATGACACTAACTCATACACAAACAAATTAATGTTTTGAATCAAAATTAACATCATTACCTGAAGACCCTACATGGAACATTAGACTTGAATGGTCGATGCCCGAAATCTGAAACAATAGAGAAAATAAACATTTCATTATAATATTTACTCTGACTGTATTTATTAAGAAGCTGTCAAGTATATATGACAATATTTTTTTTTAGCTGTGCATGTTTTTTACATTCATCAAGAATAGGGAACACTTCTATTACTATTCAAATATACAGCAGAGTATCATTAAAATTGAAAGAGGCTTAAATAATCCCTCTGCACACTGCATCCCCCCCTCTAGCTACCACATTGTGTGTGGTATCGAAAAACTCAACAACAAAATTTAATGCCAAGTATTTTACAAATTTAAAATAAGTCAGATAGAAAGCATTTGCAAGTGCACGTTATTAGTAATCATACATTCTATATTTTATGATATAATTTAGTTGGTCTGCCGTTCATCTTCTTTAGAGAGTTATATTTAGTGCTAAGATAGTTGTAACTAAGTCTGGCCAGATTGGAATCAGAGTCATGCCAAATGTTTACCAACCAAATGTACATTTGTTAATTCAAACTTTATATTAATAGTTGTTTTGGATTAGCCAGTATAACAGAAAAAACATGTTATGGCTACAGCTGTATGTTATGAGTTTTCCTTGGTAAGTTGTTCGGCACTCCCAATTGATATTATTTGATATAATAAAATAAATGGCGGACAACTATCACATGTTTTGTATAAAAAAATTATGATTATTAACATAAAGTATTAAACAGATGGCATAGTATCATGACGACAGACAGAGGTACGATGACTAGAACTACTACTTCATACAGCATGAGTAGTCCAACTGCAATATACACAGTAGGGAGGATTTGGGACTTCTGATCGAAAGAGTAAGATAATATATTTTTCCAAATCTAAGGATCCAGGAAATAAATATTGCTACTGAAAACATGATCTCCTTTCTTTCTTCCTTCCCGTTTTTACTTATTTCCATTTTTTTTCTCCGATGAGCATTGGTATAGCTCATTAGGACTGGCTTGTTTTCATTTATTCTGAGAAATCGAAATTTTAAGTGGACAAAAAGACATTATTTACAGCCCTGAAAATACAACTAAGCTGATGGTCTTGAGTTCATGCATGACCTCTGTTAAGCCGTATCTAGGCCATAAAAACCATTGAATTAGATCAGCCCAGAGATTATATTCATTGAGGGTCCTAGAAAATTAACCTTTGGTTTTAATTTTGCAGCCAAAATTAGGCCATCTGTACTTTAGCAAAGACCTATTACATTACAAGTAGTTTGGCTTCTATTTAATGATCAGGAAGCTCATAAGATCACAAATAAGGCAAGAATAAGGATTGCTAACATTACCTTTAGAAATAACAGATTTACTGGCACAACCATATAACATACTCGAACTCTGAATTATGTTTTTGGTGATTCTCAATACTTTGAAAAATAATTCTTTGAAAAAAAATCAACATTTTATATATTTTTCTTATAAGAAAGGTGTAAAAGTCACTGGTATTACTATAGAGTTAGGCTGATAAGACAAAATCAGAACTTGAGAAATCAGTGTCTGTTGAATTTGATGTCGAACAAGTATGCTCTCATGTGAATGCATTCAACTGGTCATGCAATAGTGAAGACTATACTCAACAGGTTCTGGATTTCTTAGAAGGGTCAGAACCTTTAATCAATTTACTTAATTTAGGTGTTATTATTCATTTCATCTATGGTTTGACAAAACCACGAGCTTTTGTACAAAAGATAGGTGATCAACCAACTAAACCAAATAGGCACCATACTTGACAATGTGCAGTACTGTATTCAATATTTACTCCGATAAAGTCCATATCTTATGCCGTATGTGGCATGTATCATACTTATTTGTGATGGTTCGCCCTCAGTCATGCTGTGGTGCCGCAACCAAGCATGGTAATATATTTTGCAATGGATGGTTCAATGGATCTGGGCTCGATTGTACGAAGCCCGCATAGCGCTATCCGACGGATAAATCTTATCCAGTGGATAAATTTATTGGATAACAGCATCGACTTATCAACTGGATAAGGATTTATCTGGCGGATAGCACTATCCAGGCTTCGTACAACTGGGCCCTGGCCATCTTCAATTATTCTACCAGGTGACCATGACCTTAGCTTGTAAGCCTTGCCGCAAATATCCAATTATCCCTCTCATATGCAAATTAATGCGTCAGACATATCTTTTGTCAAAGTAAGGCATGTCTCGGGTACTTCTAAGCTTCTTGAACTGATCAACAGGTTTTAAGCTGTCATTACATATTGTTTGTGCTGGCATGCAGCGTCATGTTGGAATGTCGTATTTAGTCACAGAAATCTAGTTCACAGGATATTAACATTTCTACACCACACGCGTAACCATGACCTTAACAAGTGCCGACACTCTTCAGTAATCTTAAGAAATTTTTTTCTGGAATTAAGTAGTACAACACGAGGTACCATAGGGCAACCCATTGCTAGGAAAGTTGACCAGAAAGTTTTAGGATAATATCAATTATAATAAAAATATTAAATACCAGAAAGTATTTTTCTTTTATTTTTATCCTGGTTTTTTTTATACCCACATATGGAAACCTTAACTATAGCTGAATCACGTAATTGATGCATAGGGTGTCCTCCAAGTTAATGGCCAAATAAGCATATTTTTGTTTTCAAAACATAAATATATAGTTTTTTGAGGGTCTCTCCATTGAATTAAGGGCTTTCTCTGGGTTTACCAGTTTTCCTTTAATTTTTCCTTTTCTTTTACAAAATTTAACAAATGTAAATTATGATTCAGTCTGTGAGTTAGCTGTGCCCTGACTTTGATCAGCCCAGAGGTTGTTTTAGAGTTCAGTCTGTGAGTTAGCTGTGCCCTGACTTTGATCAGCCCAGAGGTTGTTTTAGAGTATCAATAAAATTTGGAAGTAAGTCAAACGATTCAAGTTTGAAAATGAAATTAATTTTTCAAAATTGCATAAAAAGTTGATGGGACTTTGGGGAAAAAGTAAAATAGTTCAGAGGAAAAATATGGCATGGTATCCTTAGTAGTTTGCATAGCTGTTTCAAATATATTTGGATTTTCCCTTACTGCCTTAATATATGCATATTCTCATGCATCCAGAAGCTTTCAACTTATCATGCACAGAAACAATCCAAGGACAGTGAACTTCATTGGTTTAGGGACACTGAGCCAGAACAATGCTAACTGTGTTGGACCACTGTTATTCAAACTTTTTTTTGTACTGTGATTTTTGAATTTAATTGTATGAGGCAAAACAAAAATATTTTCTATAAGGACGAAAAAGTAGCTAAATAGATACAGTATTGAGACTGTACATGATTTCATTAAAGAGCAAGAACGGTCAAAACTAACTGAGTTTGTATCCCAGTGGCATATGAAAATAGATTTCAATCATATTTTCAAAGTATCATAAGCCTTCAGGGCTGTATAAGTCTTATAAATTTAATTGCTTTTACAAGCCAAACAACTTTATTATTAATACAACAAATTTTCATATTCTCGAAATTTTTTTAATTTGCATTTGGTAAGTTGTTATTCCAAACCATCTAGAGACTCTGGTGTGATTTATTACAGTGCTCTACATGCATCATAGCACCCCAGGAGTGCAAAGTTGATTGATGTATCGCCATACTCTATAACCAACTATTTTGAAACAAAATTAGAAACATCAAAAAAATAAACAGAAATATAGTTCTTAAAATTTGTGATGTGGTTTACCATTTTTTGTCAAAATTTATGCAACCTTCAGGTCTCCTTGTTTTATAAAAGAATTGAATAAAGCATGGTTTCAATCAACCACATCATCAACATTTTGTATATCAATACAATGAGGTTTTGCCAAAATCATATATCGGCCAGTCGGCAAGAAATAGGCGAATAGTGATGCATTTCATTAGTAAGGAATACGTGTCTCGTGTTTATGAATATAAGGTTTTCTGGAGTCGCAAATCACGTCTTGCATTCAAAGGTCATCAACTTTACATCTTAACAAAGATACACTATGTTTGTGCGAGGTTTAGGGTTGTGCCCTTACACTTTTTTAACGACGCTAATTTATTCGACTCAAGCGGTTATATAGAAAGCGAGACATGGTATTGTTTATAGAAGGTCCAGACGGCAAAAAAAGTTATCTAGGACTCCCCTAAAGCAACGCCAGTTTGTGCTTGTCTGGAACATGGTCAAAATAAAAGCAAATCGGTTAGAGGCTAAATTAAGAGGTTAACATTAGACATGTTGTTGCGTGATTTTTTAGAAGTGCTTGTCTCCTCACGTTCTAGTTAAGTGCGTGAGCTATTCCACGCGATTCAATGAAGAACTGACTGGCTTGGCATTCGCGACCTAAACTCGCAGAATTTGCGACAACAAGAGTAGTCTTTGCCTCGATTAATTAGTCCAAAACACGACTTCTTTACTGAACTTCATCCTATATTTCTACAGAGATCGTAAAGTCTAGTTAAAAGACGCTAACCTATGCATCTAATAATTACGAAGAGAGATGCATATTTTAACTGCATAGATTGCTTAAGGAATTAACTAAGACATAAGACTCGACTGAAGCGCGTCTCAGAATCACTCCAAAAACTCAATAAATTCATGAATCCCTATTTCACAATCTACTGTCTTGTGATTGATGTCTAGCTGAAGCCTTCAAACTACGTGATAGAGTAGTATTTTTAGATTCTTCAGGGCGGTCACAAACATGTACAAGTTCACTTCGCCACGCATGATTTAAGTATATTCTGTCGACCTCAAAATAAATGCTTTTTAAGGTCGCTCGCCGTCAAAATCAAGTCAATAAGTATACCTTAATATGACCTTTGGAAAGATTATTCCAGACACGCTGTGTTTAGGTAATAAAAACACTGGAATCGTGCCGTAAAATGCGCTTAAAACAGTGTCGTACTCGCACCATTTTAATATTCAAACCACCATTAAACCAGGCAATCGTAAAGTATGAGAAACGCCTCGCTAAGCTATACTTTTTCACTTACCAACAGATAACTATTCCGTTTCCTGGCCGGTTGCTCCTTGGAAAGCTTTGAAATTATAGTCTCTAGGTTCTGTCTTAGGAATAAAGAGGAATAAAGTTAAAAATGAGGTATTTTGGAGGTGTTTTTGGTCGCGTGAGCTATGCCATTTGCATTGTTGTCAACCACTGTTTACTCACGATCGTGTCCTGCCAACATGCGATCGAATAAAACAAAGAAACAAACTCTGTATTACCCCTTCTTGTTTTCTAAAGTTTCTCCCATCATTAGTAAAGCTGTCTTGTTGGCCACGTCCGAGTTATGGTATTTTTTCGATGCATTTTTGGGGGAAAGTTTTCAGTCATTGAAAGGTCAACACTGTTGGCTTTGGCCATACACATTCCTGGCCGAGCTGCCTGGTCAGCGGTATATACCATCAGATCAACAGAGAAAGACTAGGACCTAATAGTTGAGTCACGCGATCACGCGATGTTAACGAAAAGCACGCAATATCTCCAAAGAACGTGATAAAATAGCGTGACTTCTTAACCGCTCTCAAAACAAGACCGTAATCCACCCAAATGAACAGATTTTTTTATTAATCAGGTTTTTATAGCTTTTGATGATAATACTTTAATTTTTTTCCCCAATTAAAGTAAAAAAAATTTTTTTCGATCGCCGGGGAAATCACGTACCATCGGAACGGTAGTAGCCATCTTGTCTAGGTTGCGTTCATTAACTTCTTTTTTTATTGGTGTTTAGGAAATTGCAGTTAGAAGGGCCTAATAGGTTATTCTTTTAACAATATCCGTCCAAACTTTCCTTTCATTTTTTCCAGTTCATCAGTTTTCTTTCATCATCAGGTTATTTTTATCGTCTTTTCAAGAGGGTCTCACCGGCAGTTTCACCCTTCGAGTTCGTTTAAGTACCAAAAGTCTTTTAATTGGTCCAGAAAAAACAAACAAACAAAAAAAAAACAGCAACAACAACAACAACAACAACAACACAAAAAAAAAACAAAAACAAAAAACAAAAAACAACGAAAAAACAAAAACAAAAACGAAAAAAAAAACACGAAAAACAATAGCTTTCCAATTATTCGAGTCGTGTTATAACTAGCCCGAGGAACATGGTTAATTCATACACAATATCAAAAGACAATCAGAGCAGTCATTTAGTGATTAGTCCGACTGCGCTTAAAAATAAAAGAATTATAAAATCTGTCAATAGATTGAAATATGATTACTTTGTTGGTAAGTAAAAGAAGCTGGAAAACGTCTCGATGTTCATCAGGTATCCATGGAAACAAGACCTAGATGACTAAATTTATTTTCTTTCTTTCTTTCTTTCTTTTCTATTCCGTTTTTATAAATTATCTCGTTTTTTCTTGTTTTACTCGTTCGTCTGCTCTCTTATTATTCAGTTCTCCCTTTTTAATTTTCATGTTTTTACTTTTCCCAGTTGTTTTCTTTTTTCCAGTTTTCTTCCATCTCTTTGATCGTCTTTCTTTCGTCTCTCTTTCTTCTTTCTTTCGATTTATAGTCTTCCTTTCCTTCCAGCTCCTTCCTTTCTTTTCTCTGATTCCTTACTGGATTGACATTCGTGAAGTCGCATTGTTAGCATCAACCACCTATTTCCTTTTGCACAAAGAAAGTGGAGAGTTGGGCTTCCTGTGGTAGTTATGCTTAACTTACCACAGCTAGCCCAATCGAACTATCGAAATCAAACTATCGAAGTCGAAAAAAAAATTAATTCGACAGTTTAAAGGAAAGGACTCTGACCTGGAGGGAAGCTTTTGACCTTGGAAGTAGTTCTTGTTTACAACGCGAAGTACTAGCCACAGGCAACCCAATAATAATGGCAAAAACATATGGATACCAGACAGCCAAGACAGGGTCAGGAGAGAGCCCATTACAAATATGAAAAACAAGTAAGTCTGGAGACGCCCATTTCAGGCGTGTTGTGTTGCATCAAGCGGAAACCATCTAGTCATAAATATTCGCTTTACAATAGAGAGAATATGATAATCTTTGAAATAATCTACGAATTAGATTGAGTAGTTTTCACTTCAAGTTCTAAATTCTAATTCGATATTCGGTCGTCCTACCTAAGATCAGACCTTGTCAAGTGGTTATAAAACCTGCTAGGCTTTAGATGATTGAGTGGAAAAACTGGATAGATTAGATTAATACAAAAACTCAATACAATAAATTGTTTAATTGAGTATCGATGGATAAGTTTACTGATCATAGTTAGATAACATGACTGAGTGGATTTCTAGGAATACCATCGAAAATGGATCGAAGTGACAATATAAACAAACTGATCAATGAAATAAAATATTGATTTTTTAAAAGGTCATGAACGTATTTATATTATATATGTGGTTACGCTAAATGAATTGCTGAGAAAAAAGTTGAATAACAGATTTTGTGCCGACTCAGATATGAAGCAAATTCATTAATAGAGTTACTCTTTCTTAGCATTCTTACATAATCTCTTAATTTTCAATTTTCATTCAATATTTTTCATATCCTCGTGCTCATCCAATCTTTATCATATCTTGTTTACAAGCTATACGTTTCCAGTATGAGGAGAACGGCTCTCCTTATTTAGGCATTTCGGATTTCGTTTTATCCAGCTGTGTTGGCTCAATCCTACTTGAATCGTAGACATTGAATGTCCCTTTTTTTTAAAACGAATTGCGTTTCAGTTTAAAAGTATCAGTTTAGGACATTCTTGTGCCCTTGGACCTTATACCAGTCAGCGGTTGATACCAACTACATTGGTCTGCGGTATTTTCCATCACGTCTTTTTTTGCTCCAATTAGCGGCTGATAAACTGGCAATGGCGCATCATCACGATCTTCTCGATATTTTGTATTCTGTTTTTCCAGCACGTGATAATATGGCTTATCGTAGTCATCTTTACGATCGTTCTTATCCTGAGTTGCTTTGTTCTTATGAACTGAAGTAGAAGCTATTTCATATTGTATCTCCTCAGGACGTGATTGGCTGCGCACAGTCGATTCAAAAAAGTCAAAAGCTTTGTTTTCATGAGTATTGGAATATGCGCATGCGTACAAATGCTCGCTTTGCGTGTTTCCTTCCAGTATGTGATAGAAAGGTTCGTCGTCTTTCAATGAATCGTCTTTCAACTGTTTTTGAGACGCTGAGAGAGTTCCTGCATGTTTGAAAAAAAGGCGCATTAGAAAAATTAATATAAAGGGAAATAATTATTCTCCTCATTCCGCTATTTGATATAAACCTTTGTCTCCATGCAAATCCTTGTAGATTATCGCCGCATCGTTTTTACTAGAGTCGCGTTGTTTATCATGTGTGTAGTTAAATGGCTGCATCGTGATGATGGTTTCCGGTTCGTGTAACAAAGAAGCACCTTAATAAAACATAAATAGAGAGTGATCGTTACATTCTGATGGAATTAAATATACTCTCCTAAAGCAAATGGCAGCCGAGAAGAGACAGGTCATTTTCCATTGCCTTGCCCCATCCCCCCCCCCCCCCGTATACCTTTTCAAGTCCCTCCAATTTTCCAAAAACCATGTGATTATATAGAAGGCTGCATGGTCGATGAATTGTCAATTAGTTGTATAAACTAAATACATTGACACTTTAAATAAAGTTATTTATTTATTTTATTTTACTATTTTTATATATTCCCCCCTAAATCCTCCGACCTCCTTAAATAATGACAGGTCCCTTACTATTCGAATTGGATTTCAATCACCATAGGAAGGTTGCAACTACTTACGTCTTCTTTTTTTCCTTCGTTTGAATATGAACAGAAGAATGACCATAGCTATGACAAGTAAGCAACCCACTGCAATGCCTATCACCATAGCAACATTCAATCCTGATTCGGAGTAGCTTGCATAGCCATTTGGAGACTCATCTGATTTCTGTACAACATCTAATATTAATATGAGAACAAAGAAGTTCCCACATACGAGGACCGCGCGGATATCCAACTTTAAAATTGGGGGGGGGGGGGGGGGGGGGGGGGAGGTGTATTTTTAGGGAGGAGATGTAGTAGATGATTCAGTCCTAGGCGAGAGGGGCCGGATATCGGCAGCTAAAAATTAAGTGGTTTGGGAGATCGTGGTTGGCTGGGGAAAATAAATTGACTTATTCTGTCTCCTTGAAATACGTAATTGGCTTATGCATGCATGCTTTCATTCCACATGCATTTTGATAGGCTGATATTGTAAGAATTATGATCACGATTTAATAGATTAATTATACAAAATGATTAATGTAAACTAGTAAAATGCTTACCTGGGTGGTTATGGATTTATCAGTCAGCCGCTGCCCGGTATAAGGTGATTTTGGCACTGTTGAGGATGAAAAACTCTTGTAAGGTTTCATAAATTAAAGAAATGCTTACAGAAGGGAAAATTAAAAAACTTAAGAAGGCAAAGAAAAATAATCAATTTTTTAATAATTAATTGTTTTCTATTTCTTTTATAAAATACAAATTACAATAATAGATAGGAATGACGCAACGGAAAGTGCGCGCGCGTGCAATGTGCTCTCATAAAGCACGCGCTCCAAACTAATTATCAGAACGTGACATTCATAACAGTTATTTTATAAAAAGATATAGATCATGTAATGAGAGTCACAGACGGCTTTTTGGAATTACGAGTCAGCACTAATTGGATTAGATAGCAAGCAGTTCTCAAAATGTAAAAGAGAGAGCAAAGGTGCTGACACACGGTGCAACATTGCAAGCAACAAATATTTGAATTGGGGTGACACACATTGCAACAAATTCGCGCAACAGCGCTTGTGTCAGCCTGCTATGTTAAGATATTTGGTCAGGAGTTATAAATTTGGTGCAAGCTGATTGGCTGGAAATTTCAAGATGTTGCGGGTATATATGTTGCAGCCATGTTCACATGATGAAATTTGTTGCGCACAATGTTGCAATAGTAGAGCCCGATTCAACTTCAGATTTGTTGCATGCAGCGTTGCGTACGACAAGTTTGGGGTAGACACACGCTGCCAACAGTCCTGTTGCGTGCAATGTTGCATCCAATGTTGCACCGTGTTTCAACACCTCAACAGCACCTCTAAAGTAACGATAAGTGATTCCAGTTCAAGCACGAGATCTTAAAAGGCACTGGAATTTATTCACGGAGCCAGGAGGAGTCCGGCTCATTCTTTGCGTGGGATTATGATTACTGTAAATGCTCCAAAAGAACTTGTGACTGAGATATATATATATATATATATACGAGACAAGACATGAATTTCCCTGAAGAAATTAAGAAAACAAGTATAGAATATTTACCTGTATTTTCTGTTGCTTGGAAATTATGGCGTGTTGTAACGGGTTCTTCCTTTGTTTTTAACTTCATTGTAGAGATACGTGTTGTTGTGGATGTAGTCGGCGTTGTAGAGGAGTGTGTACATGGTGTTGTTACCGTACGCGTTGTAGAGCCGTGTGCCGTTGGTGATGTTATTGTTGAAGAGAAATGGGTAGCTAAAGGTGGAGTTCTTGGCGTACACAATCCACACTTTTTTGGACAAAAACGTTTCGTATAACCATATTTACACTTCCAATCCCGACATTGGGGTTTCCAGTCCATGCAGTACTCTACAAAGAGGTATAAAATGATTAGTAACTGAAACTGGGGAGGGGCCTGTTGGTTGCTGATATTTTGTTGGATAATCCCTTAGCTTCAACACAAAATTAATATGAATCAACTTTATAGGGATAATGACACGATTACCTCGAAATCCATGCATTGTCTCCGGAGGGAAGTTTAATTGCTAACATCCCTTTGGGTTAATAGTGAGGAGGGACATTTAATCTAAATATCCCTCATGAATTTAAACATTAGGGACGATTAGACTAATCGTCCCTCATGAATATAATAATCGATTTAGGCATCGATCAAGGCCTAAAAACGATCCCTGTTGATTCTGAATACCTTTACTTCCATCTAGAGCCACAACCAAAGTAGACAACAGACATAGGCAATTTAAAGGCAGACTCCTGTACCATGGCATGTCCGTGGAATGTTTTGATCTCCAGTTAATGGCAACTGACAGAAAAATCTCAATATATGCCACGTCTTCAGATCATAATTGCTGTATGCAGCGGTTTGCCTCTCGCTTTGAATTGACCAATATGATGATCTCTTCTTTCTTGATAATGTGCCAGAGTATTTTCTGACCAGCTTTTTAATCCACGTTTTCTTTTTTTTTTTTGGTGCTATATTGTATGTAGTAAAGATAGACAAACAGTGTCAAATCACCTTAACTTGCTGGCAAATGAAAATTATGCTGAACTTCCCATTACGAAATAAGCTTGCAAGCTGTATCTATGGACTGATCATGCAATGAGGTCATTGCTATATTATGTTAATCGGTGTTATTGGATTTGACTTTACTCTGGCATGTCATCACATGATGGCCGCGCTTGTCCTCGCCTAACATTTAATTTAGTAATCCTTAATTGGGCTCATTAACAAGGTATTTTAACTTCTTGTCCCAATCTCTTGTCCTGCGAGAGACGGAGGAGTAAAGAGCAAACTGCATCAAAATCAAGTGCCTAAAAGATGAAATTGTCATTTGACAAATAATAGGACTAAATTCGGGTCCAGGGGATGATTTCTTTGATGTTTGTTTAGATAAAAATCTGCTTGAACTCATGTTTTATACGGAAACCAAAATAGAAAGGTCATTTTTTTACAAATGGATTATTTTTGATTGGTATGACGACGGATTGGGTTGAGGATGTCCCTAGCCGTTTTGAAAGAGCACTGAAGATGATAAAAAGGGAGTCACCTTGGAAGCAATGTTTTTTTTAAGTGGAAATGCACTATCTAGCTGAAGTATATGCTGCCATTTTCTGAACAAATGTGAACAATATCTTGAAAAGGAGCTTAAACCAGAAGACTAAAGTGTATCACTGACGTATTACCACAGATACGCATGTGATATATACTTAACGAGAAGGTTGAACAGAAATGCTGGTCCGAGATGTTGTATATAGATCAGTACTGGAAGAATTTCTGAATATTTTTCTGAATTTTTCAAGGAAGTCAAGGTGCTTGTTAGGGAGGGACACCATGTCAATTGATGAAGTGGTTTTATTCCAAGCAGTGGAAAAATGGGCCTTGAATAAACTAAAAGTTGCATGATTTCATTGAAGCCGGAGGAGAAAGAATAAGAGAGCAGTACTGGGGGCCGAGAAGTGGTCAAACTTATTCGATTTCCACTGAAAGAAATTCGCGAAGGTTACTTCGGGGTGAAATAGTCCCTTTCGCAGTTCCCTGCGCCAGCTTGAAAGGTAGCCGTGCCTTGCAAGCTAAACGTTCGTCTCGCTTCGATGTAGAGACCTTTTTTAACACCTTGGACAATTATTCACAGGTCTCTATCATTGCATAATCTCACCGTTCGTCTCGCTTCGATTCAAAGGCACGGCTACCTTTCAAGACGGCACAGGGAACTGTGAAGGGACTATTCTGAAAATGAATGAAGTGACTGAATTGTTTCAGTTAATTTTACAAGTTTACTCTATTAAACGGTTCCGCATTCAGCTCCATTAAAAGGTTTGTTCAACAAACTCTAAATACCAAACAAAAGTTTCGACTCAGTTATAAACGCACGTGCATGATTGGTCATAGCCATGGGTCGGATGCGATTGATTTCATGGTCAACAAACCTGTCTCCCTTGCTGTTGTGTGAGACTTTCCGGGGGCTAAAGGTTCTACTAACGTTTCCCTGGCTTTATGAAAGCCTGAATAAGCAAAAATAACGCAGATTTCCTCTCCCTTCACAACTGAAGATTGTCTGTGATCAAAGAACACAGCGGTATTTTGACTAATTTGAAAACGGTCTGTTTTCTAAAACTTGGACCCAGTTCCGTGTTCGCTTTGGTAATGGCGAATTTGCCACACACCCCCTCCCCTCTCGAGCAGCACACAATAACACTAAAAGCGCACTCGTAGCGTCCAGTTTCGTTTTTATTTTACCCCACTATTTCGTTAATATAGAACTGAAGTCAATATTAGAGGATATTGTTCAGTTACAACGATTTCAGATTTCAGGGCCTCTGTTGACCGCAGAGGCATTTTATGTTTTTGTTGCTTGCTGACCAAAAAACTTACTCAATTTTAGATATTATTATGGTATGATTATAAGATCGATCGTATTGTGAATTAGGTACTTAAAGTTTACACTGAGTATTCTTAACAATGATTACTTTTTCTTAATTAGTTCCCATTTGTGGTACATTAATCATGAGCATTTTCACTGAGAGAGGAGACTTAAACGACAACCATGACTCTAGCTGCAAGGTTAAGCTTGATTTCTGAACTTTCTGCTCCAACGTGGATAGTGACGACAGTTCCTATTGGAACTGAGGCCTGAGTAGTCAGAGAAACGGATACATATCCTGAGCGAGCTTCGGTCACGGTGAGACGGTTGGTCCTCAGGTTTACATTCACTCCTGAAGTAGAGGATTTGACGGTCACAGAGAAGGTCCTGGAGGCACCTTTTAAGTCTATTGCTGCACGAAAATATGACGTCCTTCCACGTCTGATTGACAGAAGGCCCTGCATAATCTGTGTTCGTATGACAGCAGGGTAGGCAGTGATCTGTGGTGATATCCTCTCAAAGTTGTCGCCTGCAGATGTCTTACCAGAAAGACGGAGGTGGAAAGACTTGACGGATGGCAAGTCGAAGTTCACAGTGTCGTCAACAAGCTGTATGTTCTTGATGTGAGCGCCGTTCATATCAATGAGGCTGACACTCAGGGAATCCTTCTTCAGCAGTGATGAATTAGGAATGAAAAGTTTTGCTGTTGCTTTTTCACCTTCAAAAAAAGAAAGTTTTCTTCTTTTATGGACATGTTTTCGGCAAGCACGGAGTCAGGGCAGAGATTTTACTGAACGCACCAAATAGTTTAGCAGAATTAAGTGAAAAATTCTATTGGGGAATCAAATATCGGTGTAGCGTGTAGGGTCTCCAGTTCGATTCCTGGACTTGTCCTCCATCATAAGTTGGGGCCCTCCCATTACTGAACTTTTTCTCCGGGGTTTTCCATTGATTTTCTTTTTCTTTTTCTAACAATTTTTACGGAAACAGGGTGCATTAAATTGATTAATTCCATTTCAGTGACCTGCGAGTTAGTCGTGGCGTGACCTGAAACAGCAAAGGTTCTTTTACTGATAGATAAATTAGATGGCCAATATTTGTACCTTTGAGAGGATTCGAGATCCTGACTTTCATCTTTGATGGTTCAAGTGTTCTTATGAATGAATACTTAAAATCAATGTTGTTGAGAGCGCTTACTTTGACCTGCAAATGACAAAGCAAATATATCATAAGTAACGTCTTATACCTCATTACATGAAAATATTCGCGACACTTCAATTTCGCGATGAAAAAAAAAAAAGAAAAAAAAAATCGCGAAAATGAATGTGGCGCGGAAAAGAAATCGCGACAATTACAACCATTCTCAATCACACGCGCCTTCTAGCGATGGTTTCTGTCGCGACGAAGAAGGTTTAGGTGGACGTCAATCACAAGGCGTTTCCATAACATTATCGGAAAACTATATGCTATAAGGGCACGTTTCTATAGAATTTCATGGAAACGCCTTGATCGACGTCCACCAAACCGAAACCGAAACAATCGCTAGAGCGGCGCGTGTGACCTTCAGTTGTTGAGAAAAAAGACTTCGCAGATCTCCGATAGAAATTCGCAAACTTGCAATATTTCCCATCGGAATATCAAAAAAGCACATTAACACGCCATTATTAGAATGATTATTCCAGTTAAGTTTTAACTGAATTAAATTTTGAACGATTTTTCAAATAGCACTTTAATTAAGGGTGTTTAGAAAAAAGTCGAATTGTATGAGATCATGACGTCTTGTAGTTTATAAATTTACCAACTTAGCCATGTTCTTATAAAGATGATGCCGTGTTTGTGGTGATTGGGGTGGGGGGCGCAAGGGGATGCATTCCAGTCCCTTTCCAACAGGAACAGCATATGCAAAAAGAAAAAAAAGAAAAAAAAAAAAAAGAAAAAAAAATTACCTGATAAAAGAGTTTAGAAACACTAGAATCTGCAACCAAATGCCAGGATCCTTTGGCAGGGGCATCTACCGTCCAAAGCTTCCCACCTTGCATAGCGAGTGGTGCAGGGGCTGAACTCCCAGCAGGATCTTTCAGTTGTACTTTGTCAACATTTGCTGCAGCTGAAATAGAAACGATGAGCCTTTTGACAGTTCCGTCGACAGGAAATGGGATGTCATGGTTTGCTCGCCTTATCATGTCTAATAAGTCTCTCTTTCTTCTTCTACTGCATCCAATGCATCCTCCATACACGAACGATGTTCCGTCCAAATCGGATTCCACCACTGGGGTTGCAGCCGTGAATGCTGAAGGATTTTTGAAGAAGAGGCCGATCCCACCAGTATCCTCAATGATTGCTTGGTAATCTGGGCTTTTGCTTGGATCAGCGCAACCAAGAGTACTGAAGAAGAAGTTGATTGGCATCATGTAATCTAATGCATAACCGATGGCGTTGTCTCTGTTGAATTCTCCAACGGCCTTTCCAGGTGCGTCAGTAAAAACGTACATGGGAGAGCTTGGCAAAGGGTTTCCTTTGACAATACCATCAATTATTCCTTTGAAAGACAGTTCCGGACAATCATTGCCTCCATGTGCACTGAGTCTGCTTATGGCAGCCTCAAATTGCGCCAGTTGGTCTTCGCTGAACTTTTGGACGGGACCAGTGGCTGGTGGACATAAACAAAAATGTTTCTGAGTAAAAACTAAAGACTGGGTGTGAAAAAGCAAACAGCATGGGCGTCCCCAGGGCCGTATCCACGGTTGAAACATGAGAACTTTGTTTCCACTTTAATTAAGGAATGAGGGCCACAGGTTTGTCAGTCATTGGCTAAGTGCTACACTCGTAGAATGAGGACGATTACTCCTGTCGTGTAACAACATCTTGCAAGAGGTTAAGAGGTGAATAGTTTGGAAGGGAGAAAACGGACGATTTCAGGAACTGATCCCTTGCAATTGAATGCACCGAAGAGAATCTAAAAAAAAATTTGCATAACGAGACCAGGTGTATACTGAGTTTGGCAGGGCAAGACGGACGTCGATTTCAGGGACAGATCCCTTATAATTGAATGCACTGAAAAACATCTTAAAACATCTTGCAAAAGGAGACAAGGCGTATAATGAGATTGGCAGGGGGGAAAACCGGACTATTTCAGTGACGGATTCCTTACACAAGCTTCAAATTAAATGCACTGAGGTTGTGCAAAACGAGCATTCACAGAGGCACCACTGCCCTTAAGTCAAATTATTTGTTGAAACCTGTACTTACTGGGATCATTGAATGGTGAAAGGATATAGTCAACTTTTCCTTTCCTCGTGTATTCGGCGATTGATTTAACAATCTGTTTGGCGGCATAAATTTCCTGCTTCATGCTTCCAGTTGTATCAACTGCAAAGACCAACGAGACGTCTCCATCGACTGCCAGGAATCTCTAAAGGAATATTTAACAATTATTCGCCGAAGGCGAAGTGACTATATCGGGAAATAATAACCGAAATGAAGTTGAGGTTATTATTCCCGATATTCACTGAGCCTGAGGTGAATAGTTGTTTTAGTATAAATACACAGTTGATTCTTTCAAAAAAAGAAAAATAGAAGATAAAAGACACATTTAAAATTAGGAACAGCAACAAAGCGGTTGGCCGCCATTTTGGATTATCGCTGGAGATGATTATCGTGTGATAATCTGAGTTTTTCGACCAATCAGCGCGCGAGATTTTCAATAATCACCTGTGTATTTATACTAAAAGGAAATATTAATACCGTCTTACGGAATGTGGTGCTGGGCGTAGCGGTAGTACACTCGCCTCTCACCTGAGTGTTCTCGGTTTGATTTTATGACTCAGTTTGGCATGTGAGCAGAGAGTTTGTTAGGTCTCTAACTTGATTCGAGGTTTTTTCTCCTGGTTGTCCGATAATCCTCCCTCCACAAAACCTAACAAGCTAAATTCCAATTCGATCTGTGAGTTACCCGTTGACTTTGATCAGCCAAAAGGCTGTTTCAGGGTTTCCGTGAAAATTTAAAGAAACTACTAAAGAAAAACGTTCTCTCCAAATACACAAAATACATCATGCGTATACCGGCTTTTGTGCGACCAAGATGTTTCAAGAACTGACTTTACGTTTACTAAGCATTTTGTAAAATCCATTTGTCCGGCAAATTAGAAGAACATTTTGCATATTTTCATCCCAGTGCTTAAAATTACCATAGCGCAAAACTGAACAGAACCCATTTCTCATCGTCACATATTTGGGAGCACAAGTGGTGTGCTCTGCCAATGCGAATGCTCCGCCTGTGACAGCTGTGTTCGTGGTTTCGATCGCAATCATATTTTGAATAGAGTTGCTTATTGTTTGTCTCATGTTTTCGAGGACTTTCCCCCGGGTTTTCCGGGTTTTCCGGGTTTTCCCTTAGCAAAGAACCAACATCTAACTAGACCTTATTCTTCCCATTTCAGACCATGTGTCATTTCTTCAAGAATAAGACTCTTTGTTTGAGTTGTATTCATATTCATGTGTCTTTCTATGCAAGACCATTAAACAAAGAAAGGATATTCTAGGGAATGACACGTGGTCTGTAATGGATAACATAAGCAACACGGCGAATAAGATCTATTCCAATAAGCCTAAAGCGAGATGACGTTTTACCCCCGTCTCTAGACCATAATCCTTTTCACACTGCTTTTGTTCTTTAATTATGACTATTGTTCCTGTATTCTCTAAGGAATCAAAAATTTTAATATGAAAGAATTTTAAAAACAATTATGGTATAGAGTCGGGGGTAAAAAGTCAACTCACTTCAGGCTTATTCGAACATGTAATGAGAGCCACAGGCTTGTTAGCAACTGGCTGCCAAGTGCTAACTTTGTAAAATAAGGACAATCATTTATTGATTAATCAAAAAAGGTTACCCGGAAATCGTCTTCTCCGAGCTCGTTTTTAATTTCACCGATGATCTTATCTCCATTTCCCTTGCAGTCTTCTTCATTCTCCATCAATATCCCAAGCATCAGCCGTCCATAGACAAAGCCATCGTTCTTCACGGCATCCTTTATCCTTTTTATAATCTCGTCTTTTCTGACGGCAACGTTTGATGGAATACCTCCAGCAACCACAGATCCTTTTAAAATATAGCAAGACAGAGTTAGTACATTTGCAAGTTAACAGTAATAGAATGGAAAAGTGGCCTTGAAAGGATGGAATGACCTCTTTAGCTTAGGCACAATGTTTCCCCTGGTGTCATTTTTTTGAGAATAAGATTCTCTGTTAGAGTTTTATCCATATTTATGTGTTTTCTCCCCGTGGGGGGGGGGGGGGGGGGGCCGCCGACCGCCGTCACTGCAATAATTGAAAAACACCTTACATCCAAGTTAAGTGGTCTGTTTCACTCATG